TTAAATAGGTATTGCATTGTTTGGCAAGGTATTTTCCATTGACAATTTTTAATGGATCAGGTTGATCAGATGATATAATGTAAACAATTATATATGATTAGTAAAAGATGACTTTTGAAGTTCTCTTCGAGTATTATTTTAGGGTTGAATCAGGGTCAACGCGAAAAAAAATCATGATCCGGTGATCGACATCATGCCCCCCCGCACACTTCATGTATTCAGTGTTCTAAATACCCGTCTTCAGTCTGCAATTTGCAGATAGATTTTCAAGATTTCAGGATAAAAATTACACAATCTGCAATTTGAAGAATGAAAAAAAAACTATGGTCCTCACAACTTCATATTCCCTTTGTTTGACCCGCCCGGCGCCCAAATCCCGCTGCGATTCAAGCCGCGGTGGCTTCCCGAGCCATGCAAATAAACCTAGTCCTGACGCCACAGCCTCCGATTTCCACCGAGCCAGCCCCGAGCGCATGCCGACAGCGAGGGATGTGGCTCAGATTTCCGACGATTTCCTTATTTAGATCATTCGGAAGACTTCGGGTAGCAAACAAAATGGCCGCCATGCACATGATTTTATACTAGTAGCTTCGCTTCTCAACCGAAATGAGGAAGTTTAACCTCATTTGCAGACTTTAGCGGCCATGGAGTTGATTTGGGGAAGTGCTGAGACGCGATTTCGCTACGGCATATGGGATTTTGCCGCGGAGGGAGTTACGTACGCCGGCAAAAACTTGCTTCAGCGATCGGCTCCAGAAAATTTATCTTTATGCTGCCGCTCAAGTCTTCTAAGGTGGTTTAACGAAGTTTATATAAATAATAAAGCCACTTTGCGTAGATCGATCTCCGTTTTCTTGCGATGGTATCAAAATTCAAGTACAATATATTTTCAAAACGTTTGATATTTCTTTGTTCGTTGCCACATGTTGTTTATTTATCTTATTGTCATGTACAGTTACCAGCGTGAGTCTGAGTCGAGCCATTGTTCTTATGTGGCCGTTAGCACATGTTGTTTAAACAGACAGCAACATTGAAGAAAAGAACCGAGTTAACAGACATCGGCACGTTCCTTGAAGTCAGGTTTCCCGCCGTATTTAAAATAAGAAATGTGTGGGCCCGCGGCGTTTTGAAAAGACGCGACGCGCTTTGGAAAGACCCCGCGCCGTGGCTCATTCAAATTCGCTACATTTTTGCTAAGTTTAATGTCTTCACCCACGATTTTGACCGTCAATGTTGACGGTAAGGACTTAAATTTTACCGTCCGACAGGAAAAATACCGTCAATTGACGGTAAAACGGGCGCTGGCTAAAGCCCTGGTTGAATGTCACGAGGTTTGTAAACTTAGATGTTGGGGACAAAGCCATAGAAGAGATTTTGAATAAAATTATATATATATATATATATTAACGTTACTTATAATTTAAGTTAAAATGTACTTTTGTGTCTCATTTTTTTATTCTGTTAAAAAGACACTTAAAAGAGAGAAAACAGGTTATAAACTGTTATATACTTGATTTTTGTAATGTTTTAAACTTAAAGAGTTGAAATATAGAAGTGCATGTTCTCTCATTATATACAATGTTGATGAGAACTAGAACCATTTATATAACTTAGGTAAATTGAAATGCTAGGATGGGGAAAATGTTCGTAAAAACTGTAAGCCTGTAAGCGGCGAAAATGGTCAGCTTTTGCAGAAGCACTTGTTTACCAAAACGTAAATTGGAGATAGACCTTTTGGTAAAAAAAATGGGTTAGAGGGGGTGCTAGCACATTTTTTTACCAAAACGTAAATTGGAGATAGACCTTTTGGTAAAAAAAATGGGTTAGAGGGGGTGCTAGCACATTTTTTACCAAAACGTAAATTGTAGATAGACCTTTTGGTAAGGTAAAAAAATGGGTTAGAGGGGGTGCTAGCACATTTTTTTACCAGAACTCTATTACATATTGGCACTATGACCTAAAAAAATAACTACTGTACAAAAAAAAACATTTAACACAACTTTTTTGTCTTAACACGTTTTTCACCCACAAATAAAAATACGTACTAAATAAACGTACCAAATAAACAAGTCTGGATGCTAGGATTGTATTGAGGTGCCCCCCATTTATAAATCCTGAGTTTTAAGCCAATCTATTCATCATCGTCTTCATCGTCGCTCACGTCTGTTGATCCATTGAGCTAAAGAAACACGAATATCCCAAAATCTACCGGTGGAATCGCCGATTGCATGTATTCAGAAAACCACCGTCAAGGGCAAACGTGTCCTGAGCACACATACCTTTCCAAGTCAGTCCGAAGCTTGCACGATGAGTCCTCGTGTAGAACGTTGAACATGTCATCCTCTTCTAGTTTCCTCTTATACCCCACTTTAAACAGTGGATTCATCCACCTTTTAATGACAAAGTTTAATTCATATTATTAACAGCTATATACGGGGGTCTTATACGTTTTAATCAACAGCAGATATACATTTCTTAATATCTGTAATTTAAAACGGAAGCAATAATGAGGTCTATTGTTGTGGTAAAGCAAAGAACAGAAATAAACAAATACGGAAAAAAAGAATTAAATAAATATATGATAATACATAATCTGACAAATGAATATATGCAATAAAAAAAACAACAATGTAAGTAATCTTACTTGTATGAGCGAACAACGTGTTATACATAGCGCTGACGTAATGCTTTTGCTTACCAAAACAGTAGTGTTGACAAGGCGTTCGCCGTTTTCAATGGATTGGGCTTTTGCACTCTGACTTTGCTGTCCATGTCTGCGACTGTTGCTGTTCAACAAGAAAGCTTCACCGGAATGGAACGACGAAGCCCAACCGTGTGTCATCCAAGGCTGCTACAGGTCATTCTGATGACGGGGAAAAGATCAGGCCCAGGAAGTTGGGTCAAGAGGTTCCAGAAGCAGGCCTGGGGGCCAGCAGACCTTGAGTTGGCCACTATTGAAGTTCACAATCGTTATAATATTTTTTTTATTCCAACAACTATCACAAGACATGGTGACGGCGAACTGAAGTTTTTTTTTTACTTATTTGTAGTGATTGTAAGTTTATTTTAAGTGAGGAAAGTGTAAAGTGCCTTTCCCAAGGACACAAGATCAAGTTGTGTAAAGTACCTTTCCCAAGGACACAAGATCGGTGCGGCATGGCAGGCCGCATGGTTCGAACTCTCGTTCAAACTCTCGAGCGCTCTACCGTTTCGCCACACGACCCCACATTATAATGCATTTCAAGGAGGTATGAGATCTCCGAACTCTTGTCTGGTTTGTGTTTGGGGTCACACGTGGGACAGTGCGGTGCACCCACTATTGTAGACCGCACGGATCGTTAACTATTGTCAGCAGTTGCATTGCACTTGCCTTATTTTACATAGCTCGTATGTTACACAAGTCTTCCTCCATTTTACATGAAACGCCACAGAAGGTGCAACGTTTCCAGTGGTATAAACTATGTGATAGTACAGAAAGTAAGTAAGTAAGTAAAGGTATGACAATATACTGAGAAAATCACAAATTATTGTGTGACAGTATTCTGTTATTTTACTACTAACTGTAACATGTTATGGACCCACAGGAAGAATAGATACAAATGACACAGATGCCAAGCTAAATTTAGTGTGGATCCCAATATACAAGGTGAAAGTCAAACGGTTACAGTCTTACCACCGTAGGATCTGCTTAGCTTGGAGATTATTCTACCATTTTTAATACAGACTCACCGATCGAGTTTCGCAGGTACGCCTTGTTGATGGCTTCTGTCGAGTCCGGAAGGATGGTCATTAGCTGGTGACGACAGGCCAGACTTTGATTACAGTTGTGTTAGTAGATACCATACTTTGTACACTGTACAATTGTTGCGCAATAAAGTTATGTTATGTTATGTTGTGAGTCATTTTGTGAACATCCTGCTCAGGACTATGTCGATCTCTACAAGGACGTGACCTTCCACGTTATATATGCTGTCCCAGGTCTGTTGAAGGCAAACACTGCCTGTAATGCACTATATAGCCTGCGGCAACATTCTGTTTTCAACCACAACACATTAATGACAGGCTAGGCTATGTGACAGGACAATAGACCAATCCCAAAGCCCCTCACACCTCAGTCAAAACGTAGACTGAAATGCAAAATAAAAGCATAAAAGTGCAAATATCTGAAGGACATCCAGCCATTCTCTCACTCAGAAAATAGTCGAAACGCCAATTGCTACTAGTATTCTCTCATTGGTTCAATCGGATCAGCCTACTAGTGAGGGTTTTAAGCGTGATATACACATGCACACACACATTTTGGCACGTGCTGGTTACACATGCCCCAAAACGCCGAGATTGTTTCGCACATGCGGTAAACCACAACATTTAGGCGTAACACACCCTTTTTGTACAGTAAGTACAAGCTGTGTAAGACTGTGAGGTTTGAAACACTTACACCAGGATAGACCTCTAATCAGTATTTTAGATTAAATTTATGTGGTGGGATCTTTAACGGCCTTAAGTTAGGGTCAACCGATGGCTTTGCGTCCTGTCCGAAAGAACGTCCCTAGCTAAAGTTAGGTACTGATTTTCACCAGTGTCAAGTGAGGAAATTGGGGTGCCTTTTACAAGAGCACAACACTGGGGTCTGCTATGCCAGGGATTCGAACCCAGAACCCTGAGATTCTAGTCAATACAATATCCCTAGCCACCTTCGTACATGTATAGAGATTTAAACATCAGTTAGACGTGCACCAACCGCCACACTTACCACCCCAAGCCTGTCCAAGCCACATTCTTTCAATTGTGTCGAACATGATCCTAAAAACTTTTAATAACACAATCGTTACGAAAAAAACAGTCACAAAATCTTCAACAACACAAAACTGGTGCATCTGGCCATGTAAGGAAAGCCGACCTACAGGTGAACCGGAACATAAACAACGTTACCGTTCCCTTCAACACCAAACATGTAATTCATGTAACATGTACACAAAACTGTAATTCTTATCAAACAGACAACCTGGGGTTTATGATCCCACGATACTTACCCGTACGAGAAGACCAGTCCTTCCGTAGCTACATATAGAAGATGAACACCTTTAAAGCGTACAGGTGTGACCTGCGAGTCACCTGGAGGTTACAGGTAACCCGGGGACGTGGTTGGAAGATCGGATGACAATGGGATCATTACCTGGCCTCATGCTGGGCACGGACTGTTTTTGTTGGGGGGAAGATACGGCAATAATGCTGAAGGGGGAGAAGGAAAAATCGGATAGGGGAGACTATATTAAAGACTGAGGAAAATTATGACAAATTTGAAGGATATAACACAACTAGTATAAGTACAAAATGTATTTGGACTTGGAGTGGGCTGGTGTGGCAATTAAAATAGTTATAAGAATGTTAAATATGACAAAAAACGAAAACAGTGCAATCATATTTTTAATCAAACCGTCAGATGTCTCAAATATGTACAAAATATACCATCACATACATACACATGTCATCAGTGACAACACTACCACAATCTTTTGTCATGTAGCTTAACACACCCCCTCTGTCATAGTACAGTCCATAGATAGCCAATATACAAGTATTCACTTCTGGGTTATTCCTTTTTAAGTAAAGGGTAGGTGCAAAATTTTTGTAAGCTTACTGAATAGTGATGCTAGGAAATAGGAATGATATGTATCTTACACAATTCTTAGTTTTTCTTAGTTTACATACAATTTCAAAACGAACAAAACCATCTTATGTCTGTGCAAAGTTGCAAACTAATTATTTTCTTCAATCTATGGTTCAAATACGTTTTAAAATATGTCTGGCAATTCTATACATGTATCTGCACCAAACTGGGCACAAACAAATACAAACATGTTGTAAACAAGGTACTAAATCATGATGATAACCTTTGTATCATCATGTGTTGGAAACAGGAAAGTTGTCAAAAACAATCTGGACAAATGTCACAAATCGTCAATGATGTATTGTGCCCATCAACACTACATAACATGTAAAATCTCTATCATCATTATTGTAGTCTGGCTGCAAGATTTCTATTCATAATTTCACAGAACATAAGCAACATTAGCATCAACCAATGTGAGAACTTCTCACTATAGAACACATCAAATTCATTCTTGAATTCATTGTTTGTCAGTAACATGCTATAAACAACACTACAGCAAGAATCTCAATGTCAGTACAAAAGCCTTTCACCTTCACAATGAATTTGAGAGTAATTATTCTTACGTTTCCACAATCACAACTGTTACAGTTAATTTGCAATGATACAGAGGGTACATATAAAATGCACCAATGACATGTTATGCTTAGTTTAAAGTTGATGAGTAAAGCTGTTATGATAAAGATGACAAATTGAAAATGCCTGTCATATGACCAACATTTACTGTAGATGGCTTATGAATGAGATGCTAGAAGAACCACTACTGGCATGTTTGAGGCTTAGATTGGCCACTAGTAAGGCACTACAATGTTGAAGTTGTTAAAAGACAGTGGCCAGGTAATAACACAAATCTGGCAACTTGTATGAAAGTTACATCTATCACCAGACTTACCCTTTTGTCCGTGTACGAATTCAGCTACTGTAGACTTTGAAATATTCACTGTTTTTAAGTTGACAGTTTTTAGGCTGACTTCTCCCCACAGAATTATCACACCGATAAACATTCGTTTTACAGCTACATTTGGACTACAATCATTTAAACTGCAGACTGGAAGATACAACAAACTCTTGATTTTCACTGTGCTGTGAAAATTAACTGAAATGAACCTGCAGTATACTGCTCTCTCTGTTTAACACTGAATGAATAGTGGTCAACGCTGTGGACCACAAACTTATGAGAAGTGGACGGTGCACTGATAACATTGGGCCATTCCTAAACAGTTCACTGGTTATGATGAGTGCAACACAAAACAATAAAACCTCAGAGAGTGTTGCCTGACATGTATTTAGCAGCCCTTCCACTGGTTAGGCCCCTATATGCTGGTGTGCTTTGCTGAGGGGCAGTTATACTGGCTATACAGGTACAGATACAGATGCAGAAACTGATGTGTTATGCCGAGGGGCAGTTATTACTGGCTAATTAGATACACATGTCTCTTTAAAAACAACTCCAGGAAGAAAAGCCTTGTAGACAAAGCTAATATAATGGAGTAATAAAGTGTCCAAAGTATCCCAGACTAGGCAAACTAGTATGGTGTGAGTGGCATGGTGAGTTCACTGGCCAGACTGGACACACTAGTATTATGTGGGTGGCATGGTCAGTTCACTGGTCAGTCCTGTGGCCAAACTGGATGCACTAGTGGGACGTGGGTCGCAGCTTGACCTGCTGCAGTCTCTGTTTCCTCTTCTCCTCATCACTCTCCTGAAGTTCCTCCAAGTACTTCACAACAGGCTGTACAACAACAACAAACAAATAAACAACAAGCTGTACAACAACAAACAAAAAAACAATAGGCTGTACAACAACAACAAATAACAGGTTGGACAACAACAAACAACATGTTGCACCATAAAATAGCAAAGTTCCTTATTTACGACCACTTGTTTATCAAGAGCCAAAGTTTTGATGACCGTCTGTCATCTTCATCAGGGCAATTATCACTGGTTCACATGCACTGAAGCTATTATAGGTGTTCACTGGTCTATCCTAAATTAGTCAGACTCAGAGCTGCTGAATGTTAAGATATACGTCTTACCCGTCTGTCAAAAGTGTGAGCCATCTCCACTGCACGGCTTCCAAACTGTGAGGAAAAACATACAAGAGGTGTAAGATAATTTTAAATGACAGTTCAAGCAAGTACTGCTTCAGTATGAACTCAAGAGCTACATTGTACATGCCTTATTAGGTATGTGATATTGCATAGTATAAAGTAAAGCTAACCGACATCTACCAGCATATTGACGAAAACACACCTCATTCTTGACCTTGAAGTCTGCCCCTGACTCCACCAGTAGCTGCACCAGTTTCTTGTGACCATTCAGAGCTGCAATCTGTAATTCAAGAGAAATATATATTCCTGGAAGTTTGTAATGACAAAGGTTATTTTGCAGATTTCTGACATAATAATAACACAGTGGACATAAGCAGCAAGTGTATTGCACAAGAACTAACAAAGCCGTTAAGGTAAGATTCAGATAAGGTATTGTATGAAATATATGTAGTATCATCCTTTGTTTGAGAAGAGCTACATCTCGAGCACGTTGAAGATCGCACCGCACTTATCTAAAAGAGTAGGGGTCCTTTCCAGTGTGACTGTATGACTGGTATGTTCAAACCTTACAGTCCAGTCTTACCCAGCTTGTATGTTGCATCTACTATACAAAACTAGTGTGTCCTGCCAAAAGGCAGTTTACCCATTCTGTTAAACAAAAACAAAAAACACTCGCCCACCATGAGTGGTGTTTTTCCATCCTTGTCCTTCCTGTTGACGTCAGCTCCAGCCCGGATGAGGAGTTGTGCGATCTGAGGGTCTCCGTTCAGGGCTGCCACCCGGAACAGGGGAGTCCAGCCAGACTTGTAGTCCTTCACATCAACCTGAGCAAACATACAGCAACACAACATTCGTCGCACATACGGATACAAATATGACAAAGACTAAATAGCATTAAGCTGAACATAAGGAGTCTTAAGCATGGCATTTCAGAGTAATCGAAAAGCGCTCAAGTCTGTGAGGTCATGAGTCAGATCCCCAGCTGAGTCATACTAAAGACTGCTTTCTCTGCTTAGCACTCAGCAGTGGACTAACCCCCTTATGTAGTGATTTATTGCACAACTGTATGGCCCAAGGGCTATAGCAATGGAGATGGCTGCTGCCCTATGCACCATATATAGGTGTGGGAAGGAACTTTGGCTTTTGGTTTGGCTAAGGGTATTTTTTGTATATAATATGCTATTGTGTGCCCTCCCTGCGCTTATTTTGACTGAGGTGTTTAAAAGACAAATGTAAAACGGGACGGGGCTTACACAAGTTACAGTGTTTGATCTGTTCAATCCAAATTGGTCTATAGCTCCCAAATATGAATACATGTAGTTCACAGAGGCTAGTCAATGCCTCACAGGTGCCAGGTGTCTTCACTTTTAAAAGCTGACTTAGATGACAATTGACTCTGACTGTGAAGGGCTGCAGGCTGCTGTTGTTGATGGTATCGGAATAAAGAGAAGAGAAAAGAATTTTCTGTACCTCTGCTCCGTCCTGTATCATCCACTCCACGACCTGTCCGTGGCCGCCGTCACACGCCCAGTGCATGGCCGTGCAGCCGCCCAGGTCACGCGTCTCCCAGTCACAGCCGTAACCCCGCAGCTGCTTCACAATCTCCAGGTGGCCGGCGAAGCACGCCAGCATCAAGCTGCATGGGGCAGAAATAAACTCTCTTAGCTTTGTGTGCATACATACAATGTAGTCCGCTGAACCAAGAGGTTGGGCTGTTGTTGCTCACCCGACATGCATGCTACTAGAAGGGGGTGCAGACCTTAGGACAGGACATTAAGCTGTGGACCACTGTTCATTGTGCTTGTCAAAAAGAGCTAGTGGAATTTCCCAAGTACAATGAACCTGTAAATGTTGTACATAGCGTCTGTCTTCTCTGTCACGAGCAGTGGGAGATTAGCTCTTGAGTGAGCTAAAACTGGATTGAGATAAACCTTTCTTTTCCTTTGGAGCTAGCATAATTGTTAGGCAGCACCAATGTAACCTCTTGATTCAAGCCTTACAGTCTGGTCTCGGGGTTGACATCTTGAAAAGGTGATAGTCACCTGTTAGGTCAATCCTTCCACAATGTGTGGTAAATCTTAACAAAGATAGAACTTTTGTTCCCAATCTTACCAGTTCTTCCCACTGCTGTTCTTCTCCTGCACGCTGGCCCCACATTTCATCAGAACATCGATGATGCTGTACAGAACAACAAAACAAACCCAGCGTAAGTCCCGGCCATCTTCTGGAGTTTCCTCATGCAGAAGTAATCAATGAGAAACCTGATACACCTTCATTAATGATTAACAAGTTACCAGAACAAAGGTACATCCCTCGTGCCAGAAACCCTTTTGCCTCTAAATGTCATAATGTAATCATCAAAAGAGTTACTCAGGTCTTTCAAATTCAATTGCTGGAAGTACAATACCACAAATTCTTAAGTGAGATGTTTAGTCTTTAACGTACAGAAGAAAAGAAACTGGATTATCTCGAGTTAGTAAGAGGAGAAGGAGGAAAAATAAAAATGTAGTCTGCAAGGAAGGGTGAACACAAACAACTTTAAATGTCCGACACAGGCAAAGCATGTACAAGATTTGTTAGGTTAAACATTGCCTGCTCATCAGCATTCATAATTGCCACCTATGAAATATAAAAGAAATACACATGTAATGGTATGGTTTCTGAACAGTTTTTAGCATGATCCATACTTCCTAAACTCTGAGTGGTGCAGGTGATTTTCAATGTTTGTAACCTGCAGCAGTACAGGTTTTAGAAAAAAAGGATTTTAAGTCTAAAAAAGGTATACAAAAGGAAATACAAAAATTTGTAATATCAAATGTTTCTGATCAGTTGTAAGTATGATAAATACATATACTTCCTAAATTCTGAGCGGTGCAGGTAATACTTGTCTGGACTGCAGGTAAATGACAATGTTACCTGCACCAGTGCAGGTCTGAAAAAAAAATGTATTCAAAGCCAGTGTGTGTGTTTTACAACTAAATCCTGAAAGCCTTACCCACTGAATCCCCTCTGTGATGCGCTCATCAGAGCAGTCAGACCGTACTTGTCAGGAACGTCCACCCCGACATCCCTGTGTGGAACAAGAAATAAAGTCAGAACTATTCAAACAAACAACCCCCAACAGTAAACCTTGTACAGACTAGCTACTGGGAAATCTACGGTAGGTGGGATACAAAATATATGTATAGCGAGGCTGCATTTTTTTTAAGGATGGGAGGAGTGGGGAAATGCCGATGGCCATGGATTGGGAATTTAGCACCAGACAAGCTGAAGATTTGGGAAGGACTGAGGGAGAGAGAAATGATTTCCGATTATGGATTAGTCATGGATGGAAACCTCTGTCAGGAAAGAATGCTTACAGAGATTGTTGCATGTTATTAAGCAAAGGACAAGAATGGACAGTGGTTCAGCAGGGGTTCTGAAGGGGGCCAAGCATGGACCCTTGAGGTACACAGCCACTGGACTGGGAAAGATCACCAAGGAAAACCATGATGGTAATAGACCAGGAAGAGATGAGGTTGTCAAGGACTTACGGTACACAGCCAGTGTTGGGATTTAAGCTGATCGCAAGGGGCAAACCATGGTAAGAGACAAGGATACATGCAGAGGTTATTGGATGACAAAGGAAAAGCATGGGGTTCAGCATGGAACCTTGCAGTACACAGCCAAAATTGGGACAAAGGCAAACAATGGTAAGAAACCAGGAATACACGAGGCTGTTGGATGTTACATGTAAGCAAACAGGGCATGGATTGGATTCATCAGGGGTCCAAGCACAAAGCGTTGTGGTACACAGCCAAGATTGGGACTGAAGAATCACCAACGCAAACAAACCATGGTAAGAAACCAGCAATACATGAGGCTGTTGCCATGTTAAGCAGGGTATGGATGGGGTTATGAGCGGGTTGTATCCTATCCAGAACCATGCCAATCTAGTTCTATGCCTAAGGAGGTTCAGCTTAAGAGCAGGCACAGTTCTGGATAGTCTCTATGTATCCAAGAACATAGATTTGCACCAGGATATGCATTCTGGATATACATGGACTATCCAAAATTGTGTCTGAGCATGGTTCTGGATAAAGCACGGTTCTGGATACAGCAGGGGGCCAAGCAAGGAGCCTTGCGGTACACAGCCAAGAGGGTAGCACTGGTTACCTCCGAAACCTGCACCACTTGGTCTCCCCATCCTCACTAGGAGAAATGTGTTCTGTGGTCTCTCTGCCAAGGGGGGGGTCAACAACATTTAGCCGTTAATTCCTGACTCTACAGTTTAAAGCAATTGTCACTGGCTTTTGATCATTATTGAAACTACATGTACTGGCAACTGAGGTGTAATCCATGATAGTTTCCACTCTCTGAAACAATTGCAAGATGAAAATTGCCAAGGCATGATCTACTAGACAAATTTGAAAACTATAGACGGGCTGTCATCTTAAATACATGTATGCAGATACAGCCTTATACAAGACAAAGTGCTGTGCACAGTACATTATGGGTTCTGCGCAATTGCAGTACATTCTGCTGACATGTTAACGTTACCCCTATCCACAATACAATGATTCAATACAACTTCCTTTTACTTAATTTGAAGTGAGGATAAAAAGTATTGACTTCACACAGTAAAATTAATGATGATTTGAAAAGTTTTCCATGAAAAAGCTTGCCAGTCACCTACCCAGCCTCCAGAATCTGAATGACAGCTTGCACATCATTGTTGTTTACAGCCTTGTGCAGATGCTCCGATGTGAGAGGTTCTCCTGTAAATAACAACAAAACTGCCTGTAACTCACTGTAAGCAAACAAATAAACAGCAGCTTTAACCACGACTGCTGTCAACACCACCCAAATAATGTATGTTGTACCTTGGTGAAAACTAAGTTACAAGTACAAGACTTAGTACAACGAAGTACATGTAGTATTCCCACTTGTGTATAGGTAAAGGTCCCATAGCCTTTTTGAGGCAATGTGTTGTTAATCAATTCACTGTGTCTAGGACACGGTATTGGAAGACGGAGACTCTAGATCTTCAGCTTTTGACCTCCCCAACTGAAGTCATGTACCCATTTGTCACCTGGGTGGAGTGAGCACAGTTGTGTAAACTGTGCTCTATCTGAAAGATACAGAGTCTAGCCAAGAATGCAAGGAATCAACCCGGTGACTTCTCTATCCCATATCTGCTCTCCTTAGCCACAAAGTGTGTCCTACATGATGCGACCAAACGAAGCAAAATTACTATTTCTGCACCTTCTTCAAGTTCTTGTTCACAAACCTGGTTTCAGGATGGCGTCATCATCGTCACTGTCAACATCGAAATATTGAGGATCCATCACAAAAGACACGTGTCTCCTCACAAGTGGTCTTGTCACAGATTTAGCCTCCCTTTTTTCTCTGTAATCTTTATCTACATCGATAAACTCCTCGCTAGACGAATCCCCGTCTTCACAAAACATGACCGTATGCTTTCCCTGGGAGGCCATACTGGTGATTATGATATGATGGTGAGTAAGACTTGCTGGATATTGTTTGAAATGACTGTGACCTTTGCGTCCATGGTAACACTAATCCCCAGAAGACCTGGGGTTATCCCGTAGCTAATTAATCTCAAGCTTCCAAGGGGAACGTCATCATGACATTAGAATGACTGAGACATATGAAAGCTGTCTTAAAATAACATCTGGTTTATCTTAAATTTTCCTTCAGAAATTTTTAAATGTAATTGCAGATATTGAGATATTTTAAGCCTGTATTGCAGAGCATACCATGCATTCTATCATCTGACGAAGGAAACAGCAACATAAGGTATCAAAGGTATGCAGCATCAGAAAAAGTCATGCTAGAGGATTTATGGAATAATTGCATAAGTAACCGTTACTGTTATTTGAATGAAAATATTATAAACCTTACAGGGCTCAAAATACTGGGTGCAGATGCAGGTTAATGCAGGTATAATTGGAGCTGTGCAGGTATTGCTCCAGTTTTACCAATTGCACTAACCTGCATATACACGTGGTAACAGGTACTTCTAGCCCAGAAGACATTTGTTGATAGCTTGGGTGCCATCCCATTTGCATGCAGGGGCTCTCTAAAAATAGTCTGGAAATGGTTATATCATTTTGGTTTGGTTATGATGTCATGTAATGAGTGAGTATGGGAGCCCCGGGATACAAACAGGATGGCACCCAGGCTAATTTCTTGAGCCATTCAGAATGTATATATAACACTGTTACTTACGTGTAGTGGACACTGTGATCGCCGGACTGAAGCCGCTGGCCTCTTCATCATTGACAGCCCGGAGTCTGTACCTGTACTGGGTCAGCGGGTCCAGACCTTCTATTGTGTACGTCTTCGCATAGCCTCTGTTCATCACACAGAACAAAAAACAGATACTTCAGTTTTTGGCAAAAGCATCTCACAAATGACAGGGTTGCTATACACTACTACGTATTGAAATAAAGAAACCGGTAATTTTTGTGTGTGTGCACTAGAGGCCAATAAGTACCGGTATATACGGAAGCAATCCATCATGATCAGTGGAGTTCCAAATTTCATCTGCAATACTTTAATTTGATTGAAGAGCCCTTAATACTTTGAAGTATGGGCTTGAGATTTTTCTTCTTAGGCCCGATTTAGACTAGAAACGCTTAAGGGGTTTTGGCCAGGGAAACGTTTCGGAACGGTTAACCGTTCCCGGTCTAAAGAGGAAAAAACGGTTTGTTTTGGGTTTTTGCGGACCGTTTCCGAAAACCACCTCCATCGTGGTTTTCGACCGTTTCAGAACCCTTCAGCGGGGGGTCCGAAACGCTTTTTGCTAGGTCTAAAGTCAAAGGGTTTCTTGAAACTATAAACCAGGTCACGTGTCATATGCTAATCACATGCTAATAAGCCCGCGCGCGTCCATTTTCTGCTAGATTCGCGCCATATTCGATTGTGTCCATTTTATATCATGTATTTCTCGAATTTTCGTCATCCTTTATGTCTGGGGGGATGGCAGAAGGCCAGGGGAGGGTCTGGACCCAAGAATAGACCCGCTGCTTGATCAGCTCGTGGGCCGATCAAACTATACAATCCCGCTTGGAGACCTCGCGTAATAGGGAGGGCATACAGATGCTTGTGGACGGGCTGGCGGCTGAGGGGTATTTACGCACCCCAAATCAGGTTCGGGCGAAGTTCAAGGCCCTGAAACAAAAGTATCATAAGGCCAATGAGGCAAACCGTAGAAGCGGTTTGGGGAGGTCATCATAGGTCACTGTGGGTCAGAAACATCCTGCGCCACGAGCGGCCCGAAACGCTTCCGCCTCTGTGTCTAAAGACGAACCGTTTTCTGTGGCGAAACGTTTCGTACCGTTTCGAAACGGTATACCGTTTCCAGTCTAAATCGGGCCTTAGATATCACCTAGAAGACGACACCCCAAGCTACAGTAAAGAATGTACAATGAGGAACACCTGGTTTCGTTATCAAATGTCTCCCAGACAACCCATATGGAACTGTGGCATTTTACGACATACATAAGATAAAGAGTACATTCACCAGTGTTCGAAATACCTGTCTGCAGTCTGCAATCTGCAGATAGATTTTCAAGATTGCAGAAGAAAAATTTATACAATCTGCAATTTTGAAGCAGGAAAAATTGGCACTTGGCATTTGGTGCTCTTGGCCCCAAGGACAGACAACACTTAAGCTCCTGTTCTGAAACAACAGGAGCTTCTTCACTAATTTACATCAACCTTGTCTTGACTTGTCTATCTTTTGTTTCCTTTTGGACTTCCAAAAATTTGTCTTCACTAATTTGCATATCAATCAATAGTTCATGCTTATAAACTTGCAAGATTGTAGTATGGAGGCTAGTGTATTGCAGAAAGTATTTCCAAATTGCAGAACAAAATTTTGACTCTTCTGCAATATTGCAGAGCACTGAAAAAGAGTATTTCGACCACTGTTCACTCAGCAGCTTTTAACTGTGGCTTGACCACAAGCATAATAGAGGCCTCTTTAAGTGTAAAATAACCAAGATACAGCTGACGACAGCAAACCTTTTAGGACCTCTTATATAAATGTACATGTACGACACTGGGACAACACTTCTTTGATGCTAAGTACATTCACACAAATGTAGGTTAACCCATATGCAGGGCTCGAAATACTTTTTTCAGCCAGGTGGCGCATGTTGCCACCTGAGTCAAAAGCCAGGTGGCGCCATCAGTATTCAAGTGGCAACACTTCCAAGTTATCATTTTCTTCAAATCTGCTACTTATATCTATTACGTTTTCTTCTAGTTAACTACTTAAGTTTTATGTTATAAAATAAATGTAAAGAACACAAAAGCTCTCAAACAACAATGTTTTAATAAAGAATGCCACCTTTACATCACTTCATCACAGGGCTGCCGCCGTGGGAATGCCACGCCTCTACATGGCAGCACACTTATGCGGGTGGTATTACGTGCGCCATGTTCTTCGTTTGCGCAAGGATAATGTTACTCTCATCTGCCAAATAAACATACCCCCCGGAATAAACATACCCCCCTGACAAATCTTCAAAATCTAATAAAAAATGGTATTAGTTCCCTTGATTTAAAAAAAAATTGGGCATAGGTTCCCCGGATGACCCCTAACCGGGGGCCAACGGTGCTTCCACAAGTTCAACAAGTGAACTTGGAGCAAATATTCCCAAAGGTGTTACTGACATTGATATATTAAAAACTAAACCAAATCCTATTTCCCAAACAAATCACATATTGACACAGCTGAACAAATAAAAATGTGATCATGTTTATAAACTCCACTCAAAAACAATTTTTGAGAGACACTCGGGTCACGGTACTAAGCGTGATAATCTCTAATATCTCATCTGATTCTCCCAATATGTAAAGGGTCTTTACAATGACAGCATCCAACCGCACATACATAGAAACAACAATATTACACAAGAAACCAATTAATTCGGGAAATTTCTCAGTTATGTTTGAAAATTAACCTTACTAAAATATAACTGAGTTTTTATTTCAGTTGTAGCCGAAAAAATATTTTTCATGCGTTTAAAGTATCGTTTTAGCACTGTAATATGTACTTATTACATGTATCTATACATTTGGATGCTATCTTGACCTTTGACCATTGTTATTGTGAAAACAGGTCGGCCATGTTGTCTTTCTCGCCGTGAATTTTCGAGCCGTTTTTTCGAGCAAATTTCAACCGTTTTAAACATTTTACGGCCTCAAAAACTCATATAACGAGGAAAACAAGTTGTAGTTGTTATTTTCATGCGTAACATTTCTTCTGGGGATGGATTATTTTTCCGCCGAGCTGCCGAAAACTTAGCGTCGCATGCGGTCGGTCGGGCGGCCGGCAGGATTTTGTATCGGCGCGCTTTGCATGTAAACAAGGACAGTCGGAGTTGTTTACATGAAAATTTTGTTGTGAAACGCCAGCGAGGTGTCTGATTTTCTACCAATGAGAACGTTTTCTTTGTGGCGTCATGGCGAGATCGACAATTCATCGTCAATTCACAAGATTGTGCCGACAATGGGGCCCGATCCATGCGATTAGCGGCTCGATCCACGCAAATTATAGGTGGCGCATCGCGCCACCTGAGTTTAGGAATAAGTGGCGCCAAGCAAAATCAGGTGGCGCCGCGCCAGTGCGCCACCGGGTATTTCGAGCCCTGCCATATGGATCTGTGGCATTTTGTGACATATACATGTAAGTACATTCAAGCATCAGCTTTTACTGTGGCTTGACCACATACGTAATGAAGGCCTCCATAAGTATAAAACAACCCGATACAGCTGACGACAGCAAAACAAACCTCTCAGAGCTGCCATATTATAAGTCTTAATGGATGTCCCCTGGACAGTGGGACAACACTTGTGTGATGTGAAGTACATCCACACACATGTAGGGTAACGTGTTGTTACATGATGAATAGCACTCAACACTGCAGGGACAGGTTTATATGGGGGATGGGACAGGTCGCAATTTAATGGCATGAACACAATTCAATTTCCTGGTTCCTCATAGTGCTTGCTTTTTGGTAACAGTGCCTTTCCCAAGGACACATGAGGGAGAAGGGATTCGAACCCAGAACCTTCAGGTTCTAATCTAACTTCTAAGACAACAACCCTAACCACAAAACCACCTTTAATTGAAAGTTCAACATTCTTCGTGGCTCCCTTGGTAGCACTTGGGGTTAACACAGAAGGTCAGTTTTTTTTTCTTGGCAACTTCACTGGTTTCCTGCAAAAATCTAAAAACCAACAAATCAAATTGGCGTGGCCTAATGGGTGACTGTTTACATTCTAGAGTTCTTCTTCTTTGTGGCATGGTGTGTTAGGCCAAAGGAACAGAACCCAGCTCAGGAAAAATGCCAGCTTCTCAACAATGGCCCTGCACATGTTTTAAGGGAGCTTTTAGCACTTTGCAAAATACATTAACGGGCATATATAGTTACAACATTGTTGGGATGTATGCCTATAGAGGATGCACGGAAACCGTTTGACGTCTTTGCTTGCTCAGGTACAATTTAACGTTAACAGCCATCAGCATTAAGTGCCCAGATGTGACACCTGTGTTTAAAAGATCAAAGGAGACAGTGGTAAACTTGCAACAGGATCAAAAGGTAAGGCCTAACAAAATAAATGTTGTGTTTCCTATTACAGTCCAGAAAAAATTAGGGTCGGTAGGTAGGGATTCACTTTTTTTTTTAGTCAAAGCCGGGACAATGAACGTATGATCTGTTTGTACTACACAGACAGGGATCTCCCCAGAAATTCGGCGGGGGGGAGGTCTGGAGGGGGGGGGG